AGCTTCGAGGGAAGCCGTGGGGTCTATGGGAGCAGAGGAGAGGCTCCAAACAAGGTGTGGTGACCAAGGCTGCTCTGAGGAGGTGATGCTAGGACTGGGTCTCAGAGGATCAGCCAGATGTCGGCACAGCATTCAACCAGGTGGGGGCGGGGCGGGCTTCCCAGGGAGCAGACTCCAGGAGCAAAGATTAGTCAGCCCCAACAGCCCCAAACCAGCCAGGGTGTGCGTGCGTGCGTGCGTGCGTGCGAGTGTGCGTGTGTGTGTTCAGCTGGGGATGGGGACAATGCGCAGCTGGATATAGGGCTAACGGACAGGGTGAGATCTGATGGTGTGGGTCTGCACTTGCAGGGAGTAAACAAGGAGCTGCATTCTGAGGATTTGGCCTCAGGCTCAGGAATCTGGATTTGGCCTGAGGGTCACCGAGTCAATAATTTGGGATTTGGGAAGTCCCTCTGGCAGCTGGTGTAGAATCCGGGGCCTCCTGGGTGCTGTTTTGGGAACTTGTGGGGGTGCCCTCAGTTTTCACAATGACTGGGGGCACCACTGGTATTTAACGGGTGGGCCCTAGATGCTGGTCACCCTGCGATGTGCAGGATGGTCCACATCACAGAGAATGTCCCACATGCCCTTTGACTTTTGAATGTCCTGCCAGACATTCACGTGGAGGAAAAATACCTGTTTGGAAGTGTCTGTGCCCAGAACCCAGGTCTGGCTCGCATATAAATAAGAGCATTTTTTGCATGAATTCCCTGAATTTTAACATCCACTGAATTTGCCAGAAATACTACTTTCATATAGATTGAAAGAAGACTGCTCTTTATCTTGTTCAGAATCTTATCCAGAGTTGTCACCATTTTGGAAAACTACATACTTAATGTTAACAGTACTAGTGGTACGTGAGTTGCCAACACATCGCTCTGTATAGGTCTGCATTTGGAGCTGTCGCTCTCGAGGGGTGGCTGGTACAGGCCCAGGCGTCTCGTTATTTTACCACGTCTTTTAGTGTAGTCAATAAGAGTATTTACAACTTGAAATACATATCATCTTAAATTTAACCAACACGCATTTTGTTAGCTATTAATATGTGCCAGGCATCGTTCTAAATGCTTCATGAATGATTACTCATTTAATCCTGCTAACAACTCTATGCAGTAAAGTGCTACATAGAAAAAAAATCCCTTTTTGACTGGGGAGTTAACTGAGCACAGAGAAGTTAAGTAACTTACCTAAGGTCACAGAGCTGGGAAACAGAGAAGCCCAGATTTGAACCAGTGTCTGTGCACTTCACCCTTCGCCACTAGCCTATAATGGCTTGCTCTGATATTTAAGGGAGGGCACTGGGGCCATTTTCTTTGGGGGAATTGTATGCATATATCTGCCATTTCATTTCAGGATAACAGAGTGATACAAGATATCTGTTATCACAGGGAGTCGAGTTGAAACATGTTAAGAACCACAGGTATTGAGCTCGTGAGAGAGATGGGCTGGCTGGGAAGCCTGGCCTCACTGAGGGAGGGATGTGTGAGAAGGGCAGGGGCTGGAAGCAGACCCCCTGGACACACCCCAACGTTCTGGAAGGAAAGAGGGTGAGGAACAGCCAGGCAGGTAGGAGGAGAGAGTTCCAAGGAAGGAGTAGGCGACAGTGGGGAGGGCCTCGGAGAGATCCAGTGACGTCAGGGCTGAAGGTGGCCCCACACTTGGCCACAAAGGAAACAGGGTTACCTGGGCGGTGAGAGCCCAAGTCACAGCGGGGCCCCCGCTGGAGCTGTAGGCAGAAGTGCGTCCAGTGAAGAGGGAAGGGAGGGTGAGGAAGGCTGCAGAGACCAGCAGAGCTGAGAGGGAGAGGATGGATCTGGGTGGGGTGTGAGGACAGACAGAATAACCACACAGCCCCCAAGAAGGAGATGTAGGGCCCTGGGGGGCGGCATCCAGGACGAGGCCACCTTGGAGGAGTCTGGCAGCATCTCCTGAGTAGCGAGCAGTCCCTCCCCTGGCTGGGCCCTGGGGGCAGCAGCCCACACTTCACAGTTCTCTGAGGTAGATCCTAGTATTATCCCAACTCACAGAGGGGGAAACTAAGCTTCAGAAAAGTGAAAGCAGATCAACAAAACGTAGCCTAAGGGCACAGAGCAGAATCAGGATTCAAACCAAGGGTGATGCTGATGCCAAAGCAGGAGCTGCCCAACCACGAAGCTTTACTGCCACATCTCCCTCCGGTTTGTGCGTGCCAGCCCCAGTACTGGGTGCTCTTGGCCGGGGAGCTGGCAGCAAATAATTCTTGAGTTGAGCGGAGCGCAGTTAGTCAGCCTAGGGTCAGAGGTTCCAGGAGGGGAAAGGGGTGGTGCCAGGCAGACCCCAGCTCAAATCCTACCCCTGCACTGATTAGCTGTGGGACCCTGAGCGGCCAGTCTCATCTCTCTGAGCCTCAGTTTCCTCATCCGTAAAAATGGGTCAATGCTGACCTTGCAGTGCGGTTGCTTGTGTGGGGGGGGAGTGGAGGGTGGGGGGGTGGGTGGGTACAAGGAGATTATGTTGGTTTCCTTTCCCCTTCCTCACACCTACCCCCAGGTCAGGAGGATGGGGGAAGCGGACAATTCTGAGGGACCATCTTCTCAGAGGCACTGGCCCACTCTTACAGTTTTTTCTCCAGATCCGGACCAGGAGGTGCGTTAGGATGGTCGGCCCTGTGTCCTACTGGCCGCCCGGTGCCTCGCGGGCACCCTCCTTCCGGCTCTCACGGGCTCCCTCTGCCTGTGCTGTTTAGTCCTGCATCCGTCTCTCAACGTCCTCGTCCACGCGCCCCACAGGACACTCCCGGTTCCGACCACAAGGTGGCGCATAGTGGCTTCAGGGCCGGGGCTGGAGGGGCAGGACTGGGAAAGGCGCCCTTCTGACCTCGGAGCTCATTGTAAAAGCGTGGGTGTTTGTGTCTGTGTATCCAAAGACCCATGGGCCTGTGGGAACCTCGTGGTCCTCCTGTTCCCTGCCTGGATCTCTGAGAAGCAGAATAAAGAGAAGTGCTGCTGAAGCTCATTATCACCCCTATTTTACAGACGACAAAACTGAGGCCCAGAAAAGGAAGTCCCATGCTGAGATCCCTTCCTAATCAGTGATTGAGCTGGGCTCAAACCCGGATCTATTCAGCTGGCTAGCCTGCGCTTTTCCAAACAGAGTGGAGAGGGGCCTACCACGTGGAGGGGCGGGGGTCTGGGTTGGAGTTGGGGAGGGGAGGTTTGGGGGGGTGGAAGGGGGAATTCCTGGTGTCTGTGAGAAGCAGGGAATTAAAGGTGGTTTGGGAGTGTGGGGTCCTCCAGAAACCAAGGAACAACTACCACTCCAGAGAGAACAAGACTGGAGGGTGGAGATGGGGCAGGGATGTGGGCAAGGGGTCCACCCAGGCCTCCGGTTCCCTCTCCAAGTACCTCCCCATCGTAGGAAAAGCAGCAGAGCCACCGGCTGCCCATGCCCTGTGTGACGCCGCTCCTCTCTTCCCAGGACTTCATGGACCATTGCCTGTCCCTCTAGTGCGGCCTGGAGCTCCACCAGTTACCCTGGTCTGTCTCTCCAGACTGTGCCCTCCTGGTGTCAGGGACACACCCAGAGCCCAGCAAAGGGCCTAGGTGGCCTGAGTCCATGGTCAGTGAGTTGAGCCAAACAGGGATGAGTTGGCATGGACCAGTTGCTCATTTCAGGAAGTCCTTTCAGCAAGGGGATTTTCCTTTCATGGGAGCTGAGGCCTGTGAAGAATGGGCTTTTTTTTCTTTTGTTTGTTTGTTTGTTTTTTATGTTTCAGTGCCTTTGAGATGACCCAGATTCCTGGGTCCAGGTTACCACACAAGAACTTCTCCCCTCCATCCAAACAACATTCCCGTCTCCAGCCTGGAGCAAGCAAACATCAAGTGCAGCAGGAGACTGCAAGGTTAGACAACAGAAGGACTTCCCAGCAGGGGAGAGGGAAAGCTTGCTGCTTAGAAGAGCTGCCGTACAGTAGAATGGGCTGCTTCGATTGCAGTAAGGTTTCTGGAGTTGTAAACAGCAAAGGTGGACGATCCAGGCCAAAGGGGAGAAAAAGAAAAGACTCAGTTTGGCTGGCGAGGGGGTGGTGAGGGTGGAGGGAGTCGAGGGGCTGGCTTATCCTGAGGGCCGAGGTGGGAGGAGCTGTGTGTGGCAGTGTGGGGCCCAAGGGAGTGAAAGAGGAGGGGTGGGACCGAGGGATATTGAGAAGGAAGAGCTTCCAGGAGCTGGTGTTGGGTTGAATGTAGAGCTTGGGGGGGTGGGGGTTCCTTCTCAGGTGGGCAGCACTGGGACAGGCAGGCTGAGAGGAACAAGCTGAGTGGGCGGGTGGGGCTTCCAGCAGAGAGGAGGTCTGG